GGAAGGAAGGAAGGAAGAAGGAAGGAAGGAAGGAAGGAAGGAAGGAAGGAAGGAAGGAAGGAAGGAAACCAGATGGCACTGACTAATCTCAGAGCAGATGGAATAAAATAGGGGAGGGAAGGGGGGAAAAGGAGAGGGAAGAAGGTGGTCAGCTGGGGTTGGCCTCCCTGAAAAGCAATGTCTTCAATTGCTTCTTAAAAGTCCACAGGGAGAGGGCTAGGCAGAGCTCCTCTGGAAGCTGGTTCCATTAGGTTGGAGCCACCACAAAGAAGGCCCTACCTCATGTAGAGGATTTATGGGACTCCCTCGGGGTGGCCACCTGTAGGAGCCTCGACTGGAATGACCTTGTGGGTCAGCAGATGCCATGCTCAAACAAGGAACATGGGTCCAAACTGTGGAGGGCTTTGTATGTGAATATCAAAACCTTGAAAAATAAAAATACATATTTTTTGCCATGTCTCGGTCTCTCAGCACCTTATCCCACATGAAATTTGACTTCTTGAGGAGGCAAATTGAGACTTTTTTCAAACTACCATAAGAAAAGAAACTGGAGAGTGGAGGTTAAGCAAACAAATGTGTGTATAGACCCCTGACTTCTGGAAATTGTCGATCCCACTGCCACAAAGCTTGACGTTCAGGGTAGATTATACTATAAATTAGCCACATGTGCAATAAAAATGTACAACCCTCTTCTACAGAGTAATTTTCTGGAAGATACTGTCGTACGACCAAAAAAGTTTATTTTCTGCTGTTGATAATTGCTAAAGTATATCCGGCTGTCTAAACACTGTTCTGCCAGTAAATCTTTTTTTTTCAGAAACATCTTTCCTTGTTTGTTTTAGGAAGTGTATATACTTCCTCATACGTGTAACTATAAAAGTTCAATTCAGTGAAATTTCTTTACATTCGCCAGGACTTACTGCTGCCCTAGTGAGTGTGTTTATGTTTTCAGCCAAGAAGGAATGTATGAAAAGCAAGGGATATAAGAAGCTTTGCACACCTGTTTAACCAGGATATTGATGATGAGTAGGAACCAGCCTGACTAGACATAATATAAAAGGCAAATAATGCCAATGCCTCATGATGTTTCTACTTTCCACAAATTACAACACATCAAAAGGAATTGTCACACTATAATTAAATTAGGTTTCCTGACACTTGTTTCATCAGCATAATACATTGACTTGGTTTTATGGTTAGCAAAAACATGATTGATGTTTCGTATAAGTAGAACATGCTTTAAAACAGAGGTCTAGTTCAAATTTGGTCATTTATTTTTGTATAATAGTACTAGTGTGAAGATATTTCTTGATTATTTGATCTATTTATTAAATATTTACTATAAGTGTAGAGAGCAAGAGAAGAACAATTTTTCTAACATTGTAAATAACTATTGGAGCTAGCTTTGCTCTTAATGTAGTTCAGATCATTTAAAAAACAGATCTTGAAGTAGAAAGCTCACTAGCTAGTATTATCTGGAAAAGAAATAGACATTATGGTTCAGAGTCCGTCACCAATTCAGTGCTAAAAGAGTTTTGTTTTAAAGTGGTTTAGTCTTCATGGGAATATATTTGAAATTTTTCAAATGAAATCTCTTCAAAATGAGTAGAAGCATTTGTGTTGACTTTGATGTGATGAGTACAATTCTAAGTTTTGGACTTGTAACATTTGAATTTAATTGGCTTTTCAGATGTTTCAGTAACTTTGAGAGCAATTAGTTGCCTAATTTTAATTCCCATGATAAACTAAAAGGAAATATTCATCAAACTTGTAGTGATAGAAAAAGTAGCCAGAAGTGTAGTGTAGTAGATGGAGAGATGGACTAAGGCTCAGTGTACTAGGGTTTAAATCCCTGCACAGCCATGGAAAATCCTTGTTGGGTGGCACTACGTAGTACACTATCCGTTTGAATGTCTCACATAGCTTGAAAATCCTATGATGTTAGCTATAAATTGGATGCAACTTGATGGCACATTAAAAAAACATAGTCCACATCTAGAGAGAAAGGCTGTCCTATATTTATATTCAGCTAATGAGGTCATTGAATGACTAATATTCCTTATTCAGAATTAGAAATGAGGATTGCAACAAGAGCGCTTCAAAAGTCAAACTCCCAGTTAAAAAACAAACTTTGCAAATGATGTCAAAGTGATTCAGAACCATATTTGTAGACTGCAAATGCAGACCCCCTTCCCAGACCCTGTAAAACCTAACCATCAGAAGGTGTTCTTTAAATACTTATCATTTCCAAGGCCAGCTACACGACATGCTCAATACCGCTGTAGACCTGGTGAGGTCAAGAGCTCTATTTCTCTTTGTGCTTCCTCCCTAGAATGACCATTTCCCCTTCTTTACAACCTTTTCCACCAAGAGTGCATTCTTGGTTTTGATCTTTCTGAGTTTACAAAAGCTTCTCAAACGTTTTCACATAGTCACTGTGAAGAATCAGGGAACTCAGGTGGGTTGCAGAGTGAATGGGAGGCTATTTACCCATCCCTAAAGAGATAATAGTACCGTATCTTTGAAGTGTTTATGTGCCAACTGCTTTTGCTTCTTATTTTTTTCCAGTCCCCCTCCCCAGGATTAATTTTATGTTCTGAACCCGTAATTCAGTACAAAAAAATGTTTCTCTGTATATCTGCCAGTACAGATATAGAGAACATTTCCAATCAGAACATTTCCAGATGTTCCAACCAGCAGAGAACAGGACAGCCAGCAGGAGTTCAGTAGCCTCTCTGTCCCTTGTAGCATCCAACTCCCAAGTATACCTGGAGTTATCTGAGGTTTGGCTTTCTCACAAAGCTCATATTCTTGAGAAAGCTAAACCCAGTAATCTGGTCATGCTCACTAAGGCATTAATTCTGGAGCTAACAACAACAACAAAATATTTTGCACTAACGTTCCCACTCCTGCTAGCATGGTCACTTGCCCTGCTGACTGTGGAATGCTAGTAGCTCTTGTGCAATAAAACAACTTTTCCAGGCTGTAATTAATTCTGTTTAGTGCTTCAAATATGCTTAAATAAATATAGTTGGAGAAATCCAAATATGGCAAAAGATTGTTCACGTTGGCATTGCTAAGCTCACATCCTTCCCAAACCCTTGAAAAATAAAATGGTGCCTGTTTGCTCCCAAGGGATTAGAAATTTATAAAATAATTTTGTATAACCAATTTGTATGAATCATATGAGATGTTTTTAATATATTTTAAAATTAGATTAACACTTGAGCATTGTACTTTTTAAAAGAGGCTGTGTTTCAACTTAGCCACTATGGCAGAAAATTTAGAAGTACATTTTTACAGAGTTGTTACTTGATCATTATCAGACCAAGTGAAAGTGTCACATTTGCAAATTCCAATAATTTATATTCATATATTCAAATTCTTTCTGCAGCTGAAACTTTCAGAGTTCCATGCCTAATACTTAAAAATAATTCACAGGTTGTCTAGCATATATAGTTACATATCTAACATGGCATGACTTCTTCCTGGTTTAATCTGACAGTGTTCTGTCGTAATCCGTGTCCCCTGAAATGTAGTTAGCAACGAACCAACTCACAGTGAACATATTTATGATTGACATATTCAGGTAGACCATAAAGCAATTGCAATGATGATGTTACAAGTGAAGATATCAGAACCTAGACATCTTGTTTCCCTAGTCTACCCAAATAATATTACATGTCCTGCATGTTTTCCAGTGCAGATGTATAGGACAGCATATGTGCAAATTTATGATTATGGAATGTTCGTGAGCATGATACTTTCATCACAGGTATAAGGTCAGAGCAAACTCTTTTACTGCTTCTCATGACAATGCCCTAATACATATCAAGAGAGAGTGACCATTCCTCCTAGTATGATGATTTCATCCATCTCCCTTTATGACCATCATTTCATCCCTTTTGCTTCATTTGTTCATACAAGACTTGGTAACCAAGTACATTTCAAAATAATGGAACACACACACAAACACACACACACACACACACAGAAAGAAAGAGAGAGAGAGATTTAGTTGTCAAAAGTTCATCAGCACAAAGTATGTTTCCTTGGCCATAATGATGCCACTCGCTCTGAAGGTGAAAAGTTCTAATAGAGAAATCAGTTTTTATGATTTCATTGATGTTCCTTCTTTGGTGGTAAAAGTGTCATAATAATTACATAACAGAACAATCAATGTTAATTTTTGTTTTACAGTATATTCCAATCCATTGGATTATTACACCAGATCTGCTTTTGATTATCAAAGATGAACTATAGTTACAAACAAATCCCTCAGGACAAAGATAAGGCTAAATGAGACAATAGTAAGCAGTGTACAGAAAAATGCAGTAGAACATTTTAAACAGCATACACAAAAAATTAACTTGCACCATCAGAAACAAGGTAGATTAATCTTTCAGACATTTTACAGCAGACTGTTATAACATCTTACATACACATTATCCAAGCTTTCCTCATCTCGGAACATTAGTCTAAAGAAAGATGACTGTATGAGACTGTTCTTTTTAGTCCCCAGAAATAGAATTTTGGATTAAAACAAGATGGTTCTTTTACACAACTTATTAACAGCAGTCGTAGTCCAAATTCTGATGAATCTTATTTGTATGGAGACATTCAGTTAGACTTTAAAACGTATTTTCTGAAAACAATACAGTGCTCCCACATAGCACCCCTCTATAGAAACAACTTTAGAGAGTAGCTACCTCCAGGAGGCTCATTTCTCTTCTTGTCTGGATGCCAATTCTACAAACTGTGTACTTTATTTACACAGCACAATTTCCTTTTGTTTCTAAGCAAGAAATGGTTGTTGGAAGTTCAAAGCAGCTGTGAGCGCGCAGCAATGGAGAGACTTAACTCCTGGGGCTTTGAAAGAAATTGCATCATTCATGGTTCACTGATGTCCACAAATTCTTTCTCCAGAGGAGGGCCACCACGATACCAACTACATGTTCCATCACTGCGCTTGATACACGCATAGTGTTTTGCTTGGTGTCCATAGAGTTTTCTTTCTATCAGCCAATCTGTCCACAGGCATTCGTTTGGTGCAGTGATGGAACAGGGCACCATGTAACAGGTAGAAATCTAAGTGCAGAAAATGTTGTTAATTCTCAAGCTTCCTTTTTCTTTTTCAATACCCATTGCCAATGCATGAAATTTAATATGTTCCCATTTGTAATGGTACTGACACTTAAAATTGTTACTTCAGTTGCTTGAAATGTGAGCTGCAAAGTTAAATTCCCTCTAGAAAGAATACACTTTGTGTGTGTGTCTGTGTGTGCATATGTAGACACATAAAATGAAGGCATCTCTAACATAGACTCATGAGACAATATAGACCTTACTCAATGTCTGTCTGTCTGTCTGTCTGTCTGTCTGTCTGTCTGTCTTTCTTTCTTTCTTTCTTTCTTTCTTTCTTTCTTTCTTTCTGTACTAGAAGGTCAGATACATGATTTTGTATTGATGTTGCTTTCATACATCTAAAGGACACTTAATCAATTGATTATTGAGCTGAAGCACAAGAGATAGCCTTGGGTCCATGTACCTTTCCCATAGCTCATATAACTTTTAATATGAACCAAACTATATTATTATAAACAAAACACTTAAGGAATTCATACACCCCTTTTTCATGATGGATGTATATTTTAACTGATATTAGTTTGGATAAATATGTGATTTGGAAGAGCAAAGCTGAGACTCTTTTCCCTGCCATGCTGTTTATGTAATGTTGCTGTCATAAAAATAATTCAACATGAAGGGTTGAGGAGAAGATAATATTCTACACTCATAATTCTGTAATCAGCTAATGACAGTCAATCAAAAAAATTATTGAAACAAATTATCGTGAACCACCAACCCCTAAAGAAGTGTCCACCCAATCCAGTAGATTCAGTTGGGAAACACATTATAGGCATGATAATGTCAATGAGATGTCAGCATGTAGTCATAATATGTTAATCAGGGTTTTTTTTTTACACAGAGTAAGTATGTAAATTACATTCTCCCCATGCCAGGAGAATGTACGAACATTTACACACAAACTCTACTCACAATGCTGCAACATATAATGTAACCAAGGTATATGAATATTTTGATTCTATCCAGCAGTGGGATTTTTAAAACAGTAATTTCTTTGTTGCTTATTACAAGCCATCACCACCACCACCCACATTTGAGCCTGTAACAGTAATGGACTGGTGAAAAGAATATTGTTCAAAGGGTTAATAAGATACAAACAGAAAGCCATACTAAGAGTAATGGTATGAGGAGTGTTACCTTGCCAAGGCAACCTGTAGTAGTGCTGGGATACCTAAACAGTAGCCATGTATCCTTTCCTTTTCAAAGTTAAAATGCAATACTTGATCTAGTTCAATGAGACTGGCCATGTCACTATGCATTATTAGAAAGCACAGGTTTTGTATATTTTTATGATAATCAAGTAAAAGGGGATGCCTTGCTGAATTTATCATCCTTGGGTTCCAGAACAAAACCAGCAACAGCACAGATTAGATAGATACTTACTTTACAGCCACAGCCCATTTGATATCTCTGATTCAGGCTTTTCTTTTGAGAGAAGGTGAGGTCATCCCATGGTTCAATATAGTTGCATAAGTGGATAAGAACTTTCCCATCATCTAAAATTTGTCCTAGAATAAGAAAAACAGAAAAATAAAGAACACAAAAAATTATTAACAGGGGATACGCTATTTAAACAGGGTTTTTTTTTTTACTTTCTACTACAGCACAAGACATTAAGTTCAATTATATTTACTGCAGATAAGTGTGCATAGAATCACAACCTAAATTGTGGCTTTCAGCCTATAAGCATACCCTTGAATGAGTTTGCTATTGGGGGAATTTCATATTTAACTGCCTGCCCCCTTTTATTTTGCTTTTTTATCATCATGCACAATTTTTCAAAATAAAGGTAATATTTAAAATTAAAATAACTTTCACCAAACAATACACCTTTAACAAAATTTTCATTATCTAAGTGAACACAACTTTGTATAGCTCTACATTCTAGGTTTGTTTGAGTTCTAGTCTTTAAACTGTTTTCACCTCTTGTGAAATAATAACTATTTGTTTGTACAGTATAGTTTAGGCTTCTATATACTTTACCTGTAAGGAGATACTGCTTCTTGTTATTGGCTTCTAATTTCACCCCACAGAGGGATGAATCAAAAGGTGTGAAGACAAATTGAACATCTTTCAATTTTTCAAATCCTTTAAACATCTATATTAAGAAAATTTTAAAAAGAGAAAGAAAGAAGTGTTACAGATGAGAAATTGTATGAGACACAAAAATTGGAATAGTTCTCTACATTTTTAATGTAAGTTCGTTTTCCATCCCATTTGTTTCCAACAAAAACAAATACAAAAATACAAAATACTTACTAATAAAATCCAAACCACAGTGCTCCCCCATACCCACAGGACCCTTTGGAACAATACTTTTAATTCGAACCTCCTTTCCAAAATTATATTGATTGTTGTTTAGAGGCTTTCTCCTTTCCTTTCACTAATACAAATTCAACAAATCTACCCCAAATAAGCATAAAATATTTGAAATTATTTCCCCTCTTTTCATCTTAAGTTCAATCATCAATTTATCATTTACTGCAATGTCCCACACTTCATTATACCAATTCTCTAATTTAATATCATTTTTATCTTTCTAGAATCAAGCTATTAATATTTTGGCACTTGTCATAAAATTGGAAATCAATTCCTTTGAGCAGTAATCAAGTTCTATCTTATCAAAAATTGACAACAAAGCAGTTTTAGAATTGAATTTGATATCTTTTCCAAATATAGCACATATTTCCTTAAAAATCAATTTCCAAAATTTCTGAATCCATTTACACTCCCACCACATATGATAATACATGCCAATTTCTTTATCATATTTCCAACAGGCCCTAGAATAGTCTGAACTTATTATATTCAATTCACTGGAGTCGTATACCACCTTAAACTAATTTTAATTTTTTTCCCTTTATTCTTACCAACATTAATCTTTAAAATCTCATCTTCCAAATTTTTGTCCAATCCCCTGTTTTAATTTCTGTTTTTAAATCATTTTCCCAAATTGATTTCAAACCATCTGTTTCTGTCTCTTTTTCCTCTTGTTCCAAAATTAAATTATAAATTCTCCTTACTACTCCCTTCCTCAAAGCATTTTTCTACATGTCTTCATGTGATGATAGAAATTGTTCGTACTTAGTACATTACATTTGCCATTAGTATTCAACCATCCATTTGTCCAACTATCTAATTGGATATAATTATACCATGATAGTTTATTAGTTGAAGTTTAACTATAATCTGATCCTTCAATTTTTTTTTAACCTAAGATGACTTAGGTTTAAAAAAGGGCAGGAAAGGTGAGAGACAGAGAGAGAGAAGACAATGGGGGAGGGAGAGAGTTTGGCGTCTAAAACACATGATAAACCCACACATTTTAAACCCACACATTTTACAGCAACACATTTTAAACAAAGCCGGTACAGACCCTTGCAAAAACTTTTCTGATTTGCAAGGGAAGCATGCAGGAACCATTGCAAAAGCACAGAAAACAAACAGAGCAGATCAGAAATGCAAAGAGAATGAATCAAGAAAGCAAGAGAAGCTTGCAAGAACCATTGCAAAAGCACAGAAAACAAACAGAGTAGATCAGAAATGCAAAGAGAACGAAGCAAGAAAGCAAGGGAAACATGCAAGACACATCAGAAATGGGGGGGAACCCCAAAAGCAAACAAACTGCCCAAGACCAATCACAGCACAGAAACATAGCCCCCCCAGCTGAAAATCACACTGCAAAAATACCCAGAACTGATTTTTAAAAGTATAAAGCAGCACCTTACCTTAGTAGGCAGCCTCCTTGGATCGCACACTCTCTAACTGCCGGGGCGAAAGAGCTACAAAGAAGCAGTCTCATCGCCACCTACAATTAGCTATTTGAATTTCCCTCCCTTTTCCCCTGCCTTTTTGTGTTCGTAAGTCAAAGCTCCAATCGCAAGTAAAAGCAAAATTATGTGAACGAAGCTGTTTGTAACTCAAAATGTTCGTAGGTCAAGGTGTTCATAAGTCAAGGCACCACTGTATTCAGGATTGTTATGTCCTCACCTCACAAAGCCAATAGAAACTAGCAGAGTTTAGAAATTTAAAATCTAGTGGGGGAAAATATCTTCTGAAGCCTTTGTGGCTCATCCGCTCAGTATTATTCATCAAATTCTGATTATCAGTAGAGTCATCAGCATGTCTACTAAAACCATTCTTGTTAAGACGCTTCCTGCCAAAGATAGGTTAGAATAGGATTGCAGCCTTACCTTGTGTCCAAGTGTCCCGTATATTTAAGTAAATTTTAATATGTTCTCCCCCAGCACAGCAATCTCAGACTGTTTTAACTATTTGCTATAGTTCACCTCAGATATGGCTAACTTTCATGTGTCATAGACATATAACTCATTATAAGAGAGTACAACTGAATAAGAAGCTGGCGGCATATACCAAGATCCACATCTATAGAGCCTGTGTCTTGAGCACACTCCTGTGTGCTCGTCAGGAGAGGAAGCTGTGCTCGTCAGGAGAGGAAGCTGAACACCTTCCATATGCGTTGTCTCCGACACATTTTTTGTATCACCTGGCAGGACAAATTTCCAAATAGAGTAATCCTAGAATGAGCTGGAATTTTTAGATTCTATACATTACTGAAACAGTCTATGTTGGCTTGGGCATGTCGTGAGAATGGCTGACAGTCGGATTCCAAAAGATCCGTATGGAGAATTAGTGCAGGGAAAGCACCCCAGAGGGGGACCACAGCTGCGATACAAGGATATCTGCAAGCGGAATCTGAAGGCCTTAGGAATGGACCTCAACAGATGGGAAACCTTGACATCTGAGCATTCAACCTGTAGGCAGGCAGTGCATCATGCCTCTCCCAATCTGAAGATTCCCTTGTCCAGCAGGCCGAGGTAAAGAGGCAGTCCCAAACCCAGCAAAATCAGGGAGCTGGACAGGAGACAGATTGTATTTGTCCTCGGTGTGAAAGGGATTATTACTCTCTAATTGGCCTTCTCAGCCATACTAGATGCTCGAGACTGAAGGATGCCTAATCTGATATGTAACTCATTTTGTTCAGCTCTAGCATTTTTATTAACAAAATAAAATTTCTCTCAGCTTGGAACTTGCTTTACCCAACCATGTCATATGCTGATTATGTGTGGATAAAGTCATCAGTCATGGCTGTTTTTCAGGGGGGGGAAATTCCAACTCCTCCTGAAGGTTCTGAGGCTTCTTTGAGATCCTTTTTCTTTTGGGAAAGTTATCAGGGGAGGCTGCAGGATGGGGGAGATGTCCTTAATCTCTGAAAACACACCAGCCGGATAATTTTATCATCAGTAGCAATTTTTGAAAATTGAAATCTCCCCTCTCTATCCTGCCACTTCCAACAATTTCGTGGAAAAGTTTTTAATTTAATATACTCAGCATTGAATCTGTAACACAACACACCCTCAGTTCAGTAACCAATATGAACTATTCATTATGTCTCCCCCTCCCCCCAGCCAAACAATTATTCCCTAAAAGCTGGCTTTAACATATTTTTATATATGTATATCCAGGGGTCTGAATCCATGCAATGTAGCTTTAGTACCTCTAATGGTAAAGGATACAAACAGTGGAATAAATTGCTCAGAAGTTTTTTTTTATTGAAGTAGTAAGCCAAAGTAATACCTAATACAGTGGTGCCTCGCTTAGCGAGCGCTCCATTTAGCAATGAAATCGCATAGCGATGAACTTTTTGCGATCGCAACAGCGATCACTTTGCGATGTTCCCTATGGGGAAATTTCGCTTTGTGATGATTGGTTCCCTGCTTAGGGAACCGATCATCGCAAAGCCACCATTTTCGCACAGCTGATCGGCGGTTTCAAAATGGCCGCCGGGGGAAAAACATGGCCGTCCGCTGTTTTCTGGGACTGATTCCTCACTTAAGAGGCACCAGAAATGGCCGCGCTATGGAGGATCTGCGCTGAACGGTGAGTTTTAAGCCCATAGGAACGCATTAATCGCGTTTTAATGCGTTTCTATGGGGTTTTTTTATTACGCGTTGCAACGTTTTCATTCAACAGCGATTTTGCTGGAACAAATTAACGTCGCAATGCAAAGCACCACTGTAAAGCTTTGCTGTATATGTACATGTAAGCTTGTTGAGTTTGCACTGAAATTAATCTGATTAATGGGACTCATCCAATATTGCCTGTAGCTGACCAGCAACAACTTCTTCATAACTCTGCCCTCAAGAGGTTAATTCCCATAATCAGTGAAAATTTAATATGCTGGACCATTATCTCTTCCCAGGTGCATTAAAATGCATCATTATAAGAAAAAGGAGTGATAGGCACAACCCTCCCTAAATATCTTATCTGTGTCATCTTATCAAATAAAGAGAAACCCATTGCAACTTAATATATAAGTGCTTACAGCAAATAACATATAGTAAAGAGTCTGTCAATCAGCAAAAATCCACTAAGAAAAATTATAAAGCATTTATTAGAGATCTCAATCTTTATAATGAACGCTCTGCACAAACAGTTCGTGGGTTTCCAGTCATGTCAATACATGTTTAAATAGTCCAAGCTTTCAATGGCAATATCCTGCACCGTCTTCAGAATGTTTGGCTTTTTAAAAAGCCTCTAACTATGCAATACAAAGTACAGAGATCTACAGAACAGAATTAGCTTCAAGTCTCCCCAGAGTAGATCACCCCTTGTTGCTAGTCTCACGGACTGGTGCTTGCAGTCTCAATAATTCCCTCTGAGACATTGATAAGAGAAAGAATAGAAAAGTCTATTTACTAATCATTCTGAACAGACCAAAACCAGCATATTGTAGGAAAAAAATGACTGGTTACATGAACCAGGCATGACTGACACATAGTCTGCGTACTGACTATACATAGTGCGTTACATTACTAACTCTAACACTAACTGAACACTGACTCACTACATCGCTATCTCTACTGAAAAAGAACTAGTAGAGACTCTTAGGCAGATAGGTGTGGATCTCTTCAAAATCAGACAAATGATAAAAAATTATTTATGTTTGTAAATTTATTATTACCGTACTGATTGACACTCACCCCAGCCCAGCAAGGTCCCTCCCAGCAAAAAAAAAAACTCTTAAAGGAGGCAGCATATGAAGGTTGCTAAAACCCCAACATAGAGCGTGATTCTCCCATGTGCCTCCCAGGAGAAGAGCCAACCTATGTAACCTTGAGCAAGCTGCTTAGTCCCAGAATACCCTGAGAGGAAGAGAATGAAAGACTACTTCTGAGAACTTTCTACCTGGAGAACTGCGGAAAGGGTCACCATGAATCAGAACTTTAGATACTCAACTTCCAGTTCAAAATTATTACTGTATTCCTAAACCTTGACCAGGCATAAGAATTTCTACACCTATGTTTAGAAGGTATTAAGAAGGTGATATATTGTTGAAACACAATCCTACACATGTAAGTAAGTCCAATAGAGTTGCTCCCAAGTAAATAGGAAGTGGACGGAAGTCTGAATCAAAACAGACAATATACTTAGCATGAGCTGGGCTCCCTTAGTGGTGAAAGTTGTCGGTGAAAGACTGTTTTCATCACCTCTGTATCTTACATTTAATACCGTCTCTTTTGTCACCATTGAAAGATAAATCTGATTAAACATGATGTATTTGCAGGTCTGATTGCTGAGCTGCATTACCTTGGATATTCTGTGCTGAGAGGGAAAATGTGTCAGTTGCCTGGAATGTGTATTTCTTTAATGTCTACCCACTCTTTCTTCCAATTTATTCATACAGATATTTGGGCTTGTGACTGTTGCTAGAGTGACTGGAAATTTGTTTAATTCCTTGTGTATGGTAGTGGGTCCCAACCTTGGGTAATTCAGGTGTTCTTGGACTGCAGTTCCCAAAAATCCCATCCAGCACAGTTGGCAGTGAAGGCTTCTAGGAATTTCAGCCCCAAAACACCTGGGTTGGGAACCTCTGGTGCATGGTTTATTATCCATCGACATTCAAGCCTCAAAAAAGACAAGGGATGTTATGTACCTTTATTTGTTTGATTTCATACTGGATCATTTTGTGAGTATGAAGAGGATCCTCACTTGGTGCAATCACTTTTTCACTGGAAATTTTTGCTCGAATCACTGAAAGAAAATGAAAGCAAAATGAAAGCAAGAAAGAAAATGAAAGCAAAATGTTAATGGCAACAAATCCAATGTTTTGGTTCCTATTCCACCATACTGTTACATAGTATTTTTATTATAAAGCACAGTTACTGTCTTAAAATATAATATTCTGCAATGAACTGAGAGAGGAGCATAGCTGCAGGATATCCTTCTAATGGAATTTCAAGTAAACCAGTTTTCTCAGCTGATTTCCATCAAATTTCTAGAAAAATGATCCTAAATCTATTTGGGATTCTGCATCCTTTCTGCCAATGGGATGTAGAGGAATAGCCAGAACAGATGGAAAAAGGTGGCTTCCAAAGGATTACAGGACTGCATGATTTAGCAGCAGCCACTTCCGCCTTGCACTCATCTATGATTAGGCAAAGATTTGCTGCCAGGGTAAATAATATGTCACTGCTTTCAAACAGCATGGTGGTGCAGCTGCTTTGAGTGTGGGTTCCTAGATGGCAAATCTTCCCCCTTCTTTTAAAAAAGATAGTGAAACACTGGGGACTTACTAATCCTGAGATCTCTCCCTTTTGTCCCATCTGTTGCTAAAAACTGAAACAGAGCAAAGGAAAACTGGAGTCATGTGGGTCATCAGAAGAGAGGCAGGTGTGCATCAATGCGGAGAGAGGTGAGGGAACAGGACAGCAACATCTCTGGAAACCTTCACTCCAAAATAAAGAGGAGGCATGCATTTTTACATAAGCTGGTCTGCCACAACACACCCCTTTTGCAATGCTAAGAAAATAAGTCCTCTGTCTCTGTATGATAAGGACGTCTTTCTTTGGGTCAATATACCAGCTGTTTTACAGAATAACAGTCATTCCAAAGTCTGTAAAACCTGAATTAAATTATAGTAAAAATCTAAAGAGAGAGAGAAACAACATTGCTGTCACTTTGGGGATCTGATACAGATCAGATCAGATGGAACATAAGAGAAAGGAAATAGTGGGTGAGATCCTGTGGTCAGAAGTAGTAGAAGAGAAGGGAGTTTGTGCAGATGGGAGTAATCAAACAATTCCTATGAAAAGCACCTAAAAAATCCTGATCTTTCAAATGAGTTCAGTTCAAATGAGTTCAAAAGTGATATGCATAGAAAATGGAAAGAAAGACAAATCACCAGGAAAGGGTACAAATAAGTATCTAGTGTTGATAGGGTGAAGTTTGGGAGGGCTAAAGTTCAGAAGGAGGTCAGTCTTGCAAGAGAAGTAAAAAATAGTAATAAAAAAGCATCTCCTTCCTGTCTTGTTGCTCTTAGAGAAAGGAGAAAACCAAGGAAGCAATAGGACAGCTGTGTGGAAAAGACTGAAAAATGATAATGGGTAACAGAGAAAAAACAGAACTTAAACCTGTAGAGCCTGCTTTTCCACTGTCTTTTTACAAAAGGAAAACAATGATCAGCCTGATGAAAACAGATTCAATGATTATGTGAGAGGGCAGCAGCCTGAGGTACTTAAAGAGGCTGTACATTAAAGGAATACCTATATTCAGAATCAGGTGAACTGTATTTAGGAGTACAAATGTAGTCCCAAAGTTTCCATCTGCGAATTTTCAGTCTTTTTAAAAAACAAGTCAGGGCCTTGAAAACTACTGTTAAGCTAATGATTTCCCCATCAAAAGGGTGGGGGCAGGGAGAGAGGATCCAGGCAGCTACTACTCAATGAGTTTAACATCACTAGGCTGTGAAACAGATAGTTAAAAAAATACACATCTGTGATCAGTTGAGGAAGAAACACATTGATTACTGAAATCCACCATACAATTCTCAATGATAACTCAAACCAGACTAATTTTCCTTCTTTCTCTGATAGAACTGTGAACTGGTAGATTAGGGGTGTGTAGAAGATGTGATGTATCTTGATTTCAACAAAGTTCCCTATGGTATTCTTGTAGTAAACTGTGAGCTTAGTGATGCCAATCTTGGGTGGATTTGCAGCTAGTGGATGAGACATATATAAAGAGGTTCTTGGTCATTCTGGAGAAAAGTAAGTGGAGTATCACAGAGTTTTGGCTTGAGACTTGTCTTGTTCAGCATCCTTTTAAATTACTTAGATGAAGAGTAGAGAGACACGTATCAAAACTGATGATGCCAAACTGGAGGTAATAGCTAATTCCATGAGAAAACAGAATTAGGATTCAGCATAACCCTGACAAATTAGAGAACTGGTCCAAAACAAATAAAACGAGTTTCATTGGGAAGAATATAAGTTTTTCATATTTAGGTAGGAAAAAAAAACAGAAAAATGTCAATTTTAGTGTAAGTTATAGCTACCTTTGCGATACTTATATTTGAAAAAAAAATCTAGAGGCATTCATAAATCACAAGCTAAACACGAGTCAACATTGTGATACAGCAGCAAAAACCACTAATGTCATTTCACATTATATGAGCAGATCAAGGGAGGTAACACTACCACTCCATTCTGCGTAATTCACAGTTCTCTTGGAATACTGTCTCTAGTTCTAAGCACCACAGTTTGAGAACTATATCGAGAAGCTGAAACATATCCAGAGGAGTCCAGCCAATATGGTACAGGATCTGAAACCAAATACGATGAGGAATGGTTAAGAAGTCATACGGCGGCCATCTCCTATTATCTTGAAGAGCTGTCATAAGGAACATGGATGAGGTTTGTTTTATATGGCTCCAGACAGGAGGACCTGAACTGATGGATTCAAATGATACGAAAAGAGATTTTGACTAAAGTTTAGGAAGAAGGAACAGTCAGAGCTGTTAAACAGTGAAACGGGCTACCTCAGAAAGTGGTGAATTCTCCTTTGTTGGGTGGCACATAAAGCATCCCTGACAGATGGGCGATGGCCTTCATGACCCTTGGGGTTCCTTCAGCTTCACAATTCCATGATTCCATAAAATCATTACTGAAACCTGGTCCATAGAAATTGGGCATGCTTTGTTACTCTGGTGATAAGTTACATGGAAATATGCACATTAGCTGCAGTCCGTAGACAAATTATGCAGTTTGAAAAAAATGTTGTAGTGTGCCAGAAAATCCCATGAGCAATCCCACAGTACTCTGAATGTTATTCAACATATTCAGAGGTGGGTGGAAGGTGTGTCATTTCTACTGCAGTGGTAGAAAAAGACTGGCTGTGGATATTTTGTCTTTGAGTTATCAAGAAAGTGCAAATGTATAAAAGGCCTGGTCAACCAAAATTGTAATAGTAAAGGCATTTTCATGGGCAGCCCATATGGGCAGCTGTCTCTTTTAGTTTCTTGTTTTTAGCTGTATGCAGTTCTGTTTCCTTAGCTAGAGTCAACTGTCATTAAAATGATGAACAGTAGCCAATTTGGATATACCAACAATGATAATTACAGAAATTAGCTCCTTTTTGTTCTTTTGGTGGCAAAATATTGGATCACCCACGTTTTCTGAGTAATAAATATGTCAGTGGGGTTTTAATGAGTTCCAGAGCTTCACAAGTCGTAACTAAATTGATGACTTTAACATATTATACATTGAAGCTTGTGGATTTGTTCTTAAAAGAAAGAAAAGAATATTTCCAAAATGATAGCCGAAAAGCTTTTCCCCTCACTCCACTTTGAGCAAGGACAATATATCTTGCTGCGTAGGAAATGAGTACCTTCACAGAAGCCTGTTAAATAACACATTATGCACATTATTCAATACCAGTGGTGGCTAGTATTGAAAGGAGAGGTAGAAGGCAAGCTAAGCAATCGTGAGCAGATTCTGGGGCAAAAGTGAGTATTCATACATATTGAAAAACACATCAGCATATTTATTTATTTATTTATGTATTTGATTTATACCCTGCCTATCTGGCCCACCGGGCATACTCACACAGAGGCAGCCAAACAAGCATTCACACATACACAGTTCTTCTGCTTCTGGTAAGGATGCAGGTCAAACCCCACTGACATATTAATTAGCAAAGCTGGATGGTCCTAATGGATGAAAAGGAGTAAGTATAGAAAATAGGTCATTGTAACTTTATTAATTGCTGTAATAACCTCCAATGTAGGCCTAACATAATTCTTCCTGTGTAAACAGTAATGAGCTCAATTCCACTATATTGTTAGAATTTTGAAGTTGTATCCACAGTTGTACAAGTGAAAAGCTACATACCTTGTGCAAGGTAGCCTAGTAAATTATCCCACAATCCATTTCTTTCATTAAAAATTGATACTGCTTCTTGATTCAGCAGGGAATTGGACTCAGAGACCTTTGGGGTCCCTTCAATTCTATGACCTTATCTTGTTATGTGCCATCAAGTCAGAACTGACTTATAAAAGCCCTAATAGGGCTTTCAAGGTAATTCAGGTTTTACCAGTTCCACCACCACCATTGTGAGTTTCCATGGCCAGTGGGGGGGGGATTGAACCCAGGTCTCCTTAGTCCATCATTCTATCCATTACACTACCCTGTGTTATGATTTACCAGGAATTGCTGTTTTTGTCTTAATACCTACACTGTTAACTCAAGAAGCAAAAGGCTTTTCTCCCCTTCAACATTCTAGTAACAGGTGTTAACAAATTACCAAAGCTGTGATATGAATGTCAACTATAATAGAAACAATTTTGATTAGGCAGAGAATCTTCCCTTTTGCAACTCTTAAAAGGGCAATGTGAAATATGTTTCCTCAGTAGAGATACAGGGTGAGAAATACCGCCATGCCTTTGAAAGTGTATGGTACCTCGAACAAGTAGACCATGGGAAGCTAGATTATTAGAGCATTTTAAGGCCACATATAGTGTTCTTGATGTGGCTAATACCGTGTTTCCCCAAAAATAAGATAGGGTCTTATATTAATTTTTGCTCCAAAAACCGCGTTAGGGCTTATTTTCAGGGGATGTTTTATTTTGTTCATGTACAACAATCTACATGTATTCAAACACAATCATGTCATCTTCTTCTGGTTGCTGCACAATGTTGCAGGGCGGGGGATTATTTTTGGGGAAGGGCTTATATTACAAGCATCTTGAAAAATCATACTAGGGCTTATTTTCAGAGAAACAGGGTAGCTACTGACTTACTGTTAGGAATACCACTATACTGCAGCCATATGCCATTCCTAAGGTGCTTTTAAAATCTATGTCCTTCTGTTCTGCATGCCACCATTCCACATGTAATTTCTTACTGCCAGCACTCCCATCTGATTTCTCTCAAGTTACTTGAGTTTATTTGGTAGCTAAGGATGTTTTGAAGCTAGGCATAGCTTGAAACAACAAACGTTCCCATGACAGGAATAGCCAAAATGTCACACCACTAATCACACAGGCAGTTGCTATAATGAAAAGTTCCTTGTTTCATCATGGGAATGCGAAAAGGTTTGAATTAGCCAGAGGTCATTTGTACACGGTCTGTTATAGCACCGTAGCCATGGGTCAGCCCCTAGCACTAGAGCACTAGGACTGTGACTGCCCACTATCCAAACACATTTATTTCCTTTTGGAAGAGCTAGAGCTGGCTTTATATTGTATTTGCAAGAATTGCACCCCACCTACTTCTCTCACTTAGCTGTATTTCCAACCCTTATTATACTTCAACCAACCTAACTGAAGGTCTGTTGATAGCCACTGCTTGTGCCACTCTTCCTTTTTCATGTGTAAGTTGTAAAAGACCAAAATTGTAAAAAGGAGCACAAGTTGGAGGGGGAAAAAAGATCATTATGAGTCATTGGCACAGGTTTCATATTTTTCCTCTTGTATAACAGAGACTTTCTTTTTCTAGGAGGAAGTATTTGTTTATCTTTTTTCGCATTCTCAAAGCAATCCAAATAGTAGTATTTTTAAATAAATTCTACTTGAATGATTTCATAGTTTAAATTCTTTATTACTAATTAGGTCAGATATACAAAGCAAATCACATAATTCATCAGCCTAAAAATAGCCAGTGTTAATGACGCCTCATATGTATGCATATATGTTCCCTACATACATACAAGTTCATCATACTGTACTGTCCAAATCATGGTTTAATTTGTAATGCTCTGCAGATTGGATTTAGATTGTGAAATGAAGGGATGCATTTTTGAGCCTACCATTCATCAGAGCAAAACTACAGAAGATCATTTCTAACATAAGTCTCTTATAGCTGTGGTGCCCAGCCTTTTTAACACCATGGACCGGCTGGGGACACACACACCCCGTGCTCACGTGCATGCGTATGGGCAGGGGGGCACTTGAGCAGGGCAACGCACACTCGCACGCATGCGTGAAGGGCAGGGGGCACTCACGCATGCATGAAGGGGTGAGGGTGCTCACACTTGCACACATGCACAAAGGGGCTGTGGGGGAGTGCATGGGGTGGGTGGGAGATCTGTCTCTGTGGCCCTGTCTGGCCCAGGTCATGGACTGACAAGGGCTGCAGACCGTGGGTTGGGGACCCCTGTCTTATAGAATATCAGTTGTTACTTCTTCAGTAGAAAGCATGTAATTAAACAGCAAAACACCCTCTCTTGCTCTTACTCCTTTCTTTTAAACAAGAAAAAATGAAGACAATAACAAGTACAGTGGTGCCTTGCAAGACGGAATTTAATTTGTTCTGCGGTTAATGTTGTCTTGCGAAAAATTCATCCTGCGAAACGTGTTTTCCCATAGGAATGCATTGAAATCTAATTAATGTGTTCCTATGGGCAAAAAAAGTCAGAACAAAGTCAAAATTTGGTTTACAAAGGGTTTATTAAGTGCTCTTTAAAACCATACATATTGTGCAGATGATTAAAAAATTCTATCAAAATTTTTTTTAACTTTTTAAAGATCATAGAAAAACATTTTAAAATCAGCAAACGTGAGGCAGGAACAAAAAACAGAAAACATTTGTCTTGCGAACCATGGCTATAGGAACATTTGTCTTGTGAGTCATCAACCCACTTGCCAACACCATTTGTCTTGCGAGTTTTTTGTCCTGCAAGGCATTTGTCTTGCGAGGCACCACTGTATTAAAAACCAGTCAGAACAATATGACCAACTTTGAAGAACAGGTATCTACTTTACAGAACTGGCATGGTTCTATAGTCACCCTCAACACTGGTTTACATATAAGTGACACAGGCTGCATGGTGAATTGAAGACAGAGAGATACACATTAATGAATGGCACATGGAACAAAATGCTATGGTCCAGAAAGCTTCCGTTCAACAGTCTAGCCAATCAACCTCGCCACTTTGAGGATGCTTCATTCTGTACCCCATCTCACCAAGTTGTTGATCCCCATCCCTGCTGCAAGAAGATTGCAATCCACGCTCAGTCACCATGCTTAGTTTTCATTAGACTGTCCACAGAGGAAGATGGAGCTTACTTTGAAGATTATTTGTACTTCCCACAAATATTTGAGTTTCCTCAAACATGCTGACAGTATTGTTTTCGAGGGGGCACATTTTGACCTCAATCCTGTCCACTCATAGATTAGTTTGTATGATTGCAAAGATGAGATATTTCCCCACAGCCTTTTATTATTGGTTTTTCTATAGCATATATTAATATGGTTTAGTCTTCATATCAGATAACCACCTTACATAAAACCTCCAGAGCCAACAGTAAATAAAGGCTCAGTAGTACAGATAATGCAGTTTTGCTTTTAGTAGCCTGGTCCATCGTGCTCTATTGGAGGAATGCCACCATCTGTTTACTTTGAAGTAAAGAAGCAAATTTAACTTGGTCCTGTATATATATTTATTAGTTATATTTTGCATGCATGGTTTTGAAGCTAGAAGGAAAAACTTATCAACGGACTTGGAGATGCAAATCCTATCTTCCCTCGCCCCCCTTTTTTTTTTACATTTTTGCTTCACTGTGCTCTAAACATTGCAGGATGCCACAGTCTTCCTCATAGCCTTGACTTGATCACCAGTATGAGCAATGTTGATATGTTTCACATTCCAACAGAATTTTGTCCTATGCCTGCTGAATAACATTTTGACTCCTTTTCCCAATTGATAGCTATTAAACTAAGGTAACACTAATTAGTACTTTTCCTGTGTTTTACAGTGTTCTACGCTGGCATGCCTGGTGTAGGTAATTTAATGAAAACATTATTTAACACAGCCAGATTAAGAAACAATTTAATTAATGGTCTTAAACAGAGTTTAGAGTTTGTCATGGCTACAAAGATATTCTGTCAGCACATGAAAGCAATTAATCAGTATGCAGAAGGTATTGCCTCTCCCATAGAAATGCTAATTTTGTGACATTTTAGAAACTCATGTTCTACATTTGCTGTTCTCTCTGGATGGAAGTTAACTAACTACAGCTTGAACTGATAAAAATTTTTAAACCTTCAAAGTGTCCTTTTTTATATCACAGTGTTATCTAATAGTGAAAGTTTAATGTTTTTAAAAATAACGTTGGATACTTGTCGAGAAAGGTAGGCATTGGGGAGAGAAGGAGAAAGAGATACAGCAGAATATATTCGACTATACTATGAAGAGCTTAAAAATCTCTTGTTAGAAACCTAGTAATTTAAAAATTGTTAGAATGATTGAAATCAAATTATATCAAAAATAAGTTAGTGTGATTATTTACTCTGTTCTATTTAATAGCAAGCAGCTCAAAATCTGGGCAATACACATCTTACATAATCCATATACAGTACTTTCTATTCTTCATACAAAATATTAACAATACTCCATCTAATTTTAAGAGTATGTCATTATGCAAACAATCCCTAGAGGATTTAATACAGCAGGACCAACAAATTATTGTAAAGAAAAACAAAAAGCGTCAGAAAGGGAATGAGAGCTCCAAAGGCTTACGAAAGTCATCTCCTGAAACCATTTTATCTTCCAAGTTCTTCTTTTAGGCACCTCGCTACCCTCATTCGTAAAGAAATCCCAGACAACACTGCAGAGAAGTGCCCGCAGTTCATCTACAGTACTTCCAATTGCTTTCCTTCTAGCAGGATAAAAAGTGTTTAGGGTTTATGACTCACCTAAAGCAGAATCACAGATTTGCTGCTGAGGGTGCGCAGGGGCACAGCTGCAAGCTTCTATCAGCTCCTGAATTCTGAGAGTTAGGAGGAGTAGCAGTGAAAATAACAAGGTACTGAGTAGAGGATTCATTTTGCTCGGAGCACGGCTTGCTGTCCAGCTTGAAGAAAATGTTCTTTCACTCTTGAATTGATATCTAAACTTCCTAATGACTGTCTGGTTTCTTCTTTCTGCAAACAGCCGTTCAGTTTGCAACCGACTTAAAATGCTTTGAGGGGTGTGTAAAGAGCCCTCTGAGCTCAGCCTGAACATATACTTATGTTAACTGACTTCTAATGCCCCTGACATAAGACCCTCTTATTTATTTCCCTGACACTTAACGTCTAATCCCGCCTTCCTTTATGCAAAAAGCACATCATTGGTGAAAATACTGTATGACAGGTTTGTTGTACCAAAAGAAAGGTTACCTTATTTGATTATGTTGTTATGAGTCATTTTCAGCAGCGTTCGTCCGAGGCCTTTCAGGAAATGTATTCTCCCTGATCTTAAAATATTTAGAATATTTTGTAGATCTTATATATTTACAGAAATTAGCCAAGAATATTATATGTGATTTTCTCACATTATATGTGATTTTTCTCACATTGGCAAAGTAAACTGGATGACCCAATACTAACTTTTACTGTGAAGCTCAACGTACATTTCTGTCTCTAATCATTTTCTGCCCAGTCTCAGAATGTTCGTAGAATGACGTCTCTATGCTGGTTATACAGGCTATCATTCACGACGAGGAAACATTTGAATGCCTTGCTTGTGAGGCCCACACAATCGCTAGATGCAAGCAGTGCCTACCAGGAAATGATTGCAGTAGAGCATTTTAGCAGCCACCATACCATGAATGTATCCAAAGTATTGATTAACATTTTTTTATGTGCCCCAAGTTGGAATCTGTAAAATGAACTTGTTACTGAGCACCATACTAGTGCTGACTACAAGGAAGAGCTGCTTACTCTGCAACTGCTTCCCCACCCCCCACCCCACAGAGTGTGCCACATTTTCATTATTAGAGGGGCAAGAGAGTCTCAGAAGGAGCAAAAGTATTCACTGTTACAGATGCATAGCCATTATTCAACTGGAAGCAGAGGAAGTGGGAAAGTATGAGGATGGAAAGAGCACAAGGAGGGTCAGCATGACAACAGAAACCCTACATAGTCTGAGTTTAGGAGCCCAGATGATCCCACAGAGTGTGCCACATTTTCATTATTAGAGGGGCAAGAGAGTCTCAGAAGGAGCAAAAGTATTCACTGTTACAGATGCATAGCCATTATTCAACTGGAAGCAGAGGAAGTGGGAAAGTATGAGGATGGAAAGAGCACAAGGAGGGTCAGCATGACAACAGAAACCCTACATAGTCTGAGTTTAGCAGCCCAGACGGTAGAGACCTCTGGGTAGAGTGGGTGGCATATAAATTCGATAAATAAATAAATTGGTGGCATATAAATTCAATAAATAAATAAATTATCCACCTATTCACAATTACAACAATTAAATACAGCAAATGTTGCCTGACACGTGTCATAACAGTGTTAAAATAGATGCTTTTTTAAATAAATACCTGCCTAGGAAGTTTTAGAACTGTCAGCTAACACTCTAGCTGAATTGATATGGGAAGCATTGTCCTTCCTCTGAAGTAGCTTTCTTTGCTCTCAGTTACATGTTTCCATAGATGAATATCAACTACATAGGCCTATTTATGTCTTACTTGCATGAAGCGGCACCAGTTGTGCTGCTTTTTCCTACGCCTAAAGTGCTGTGCCTTGCCGGCCCTGCCTCCTAAGGCGCCAGTCTGTCCAAATGGTGTTATAGATTATATTTTCACATGTTCTTTCTTCAGCCATCCGCCCTTACTACATGGACTTTGGTGAGACTGGGCTGAGGCATGCAACAGTGGCAATTGCAGATAGCAGCCGCGTGAAAAGAAGTGTCCTTGGCAGCATGAGACCATCCTCCACCCTTTGCTCCTGAGAAAATTATGTGATTTGTGTGTCCAAAAATAGGGCATCAAATCAGATGCACAAAGAGGTGTCGGGCTGAAAGTCTTAGTATAAGAATCCACAGTTGCTGTCTGGCTGGTATTTGTGCCTTATCTTCAACTCCTTTTTAGGATTAACTCTCTTGTGTAGAGAGCTCACTTTTTATTTTAGCAGTCTTACCCTGAAGCTTGGTTCCAATATTCACTTTTGCATTTGATTCTTTCTGTCTTATTAGAAGATTGTTTCTTCTTCTTTTACAATTTTTCATTGCATATTTTCTGCCATAATGCTATGCATAGGTGCTAGCCTGCTGGTTTGGATTTGATTTCATCTGTTCTCAACTACATTTGTTCTATGTTAGTCGTACATTGCATGTATTTTAATTGCTTTATTGCTCTTTCAGTTTTTAAAGTTCCTTCATTTGTCCTTGGGAACAAAAAATAGAATAATGAAGTCTGTTTGAATTGTGTTTGTGTCTTTCAGTGTATTAGCTATTGCACCCAATTTTGTGCCATACACAAATTTGATAAGCATTCCCTTCACCCCCTCATCCAGGTCATTAATTTTTTAAAATGAAGAACACTGGGCCCATGTCTGAACCTTGTGGTACCTCACTTGTTACCTCCTCCAAGTTTGAGAAGGAGCCACTAATAACTCTCTTAGTATTATTCTGTAACCAGCTGTGTATCTGTTTGATAGTTCTATCCAGCCCGTACCTAGTTAGCTTGCAAATCATGGTGGACTTTCTCAAAAGCTGAACTCAAGGTATGTTATGTCTATGTCCCACCATCTACCAGGGAGGTTACCTGGTCAAAAAATGAGATAAGATTAGTCTAGCAGGATTTGTTCTTGACAAATTTGTTTTGGCGTCTAGTTATTATTGCATTACAAACAGTTTGCCTGTGTGTGACTTTCTTCCTAGAAGTATGCCTCTCATTTTGTTAGGGAAAGTGCTGTGCACAGCTACTTTCCCACAGGTCTGTTCATCCTCCATTGAGTTTTGAATACAGTGGGGTCTTGACTTGAGAACTTAATCCGTATTGGAAGGCGGTTCTCAAGTCAAAAAGTCTGTAAGTCAAGTCTCCATTGACCTACAGTGCATTGAAAACCGATTAATCCCGTAACAGGCCTTTTTTGTTCCATTTTGGTTTTTTTCTGGTCTGTAAGTCAAATCTCAGTCTGCAAGTCAAACCTAAATTTTGCGGCCAGAGAAGTCTGTAACTCAAGTCTGTAAGTCAAGCCGTCTGTAAGTCAAGGGTCCACTGTATATGTGAGTTTAGTCCACTTTGATTTGGAGTAAAATGTCAATTGGCCACAGTCATAGCTATGCATGTCCTTTTATCACATTCATTTGATGGATGTGGTCATGCCATTAGTCATGTTCTCTAGTATTTAATTTTATCCTATAGCACATTATAAAATGATTGGGCAATTATCTGCTGCTTTTGGCACCATAAAAGGGGGATCTCTGTATCCTGAGCCTATCCCCACAAACTTGCAGGAAAACAAATATGGTAGGATTGAGAGAGTGTTTGCCATGGTAGAACAGCAGATACGTTAAAACTTCTTTATGCAAGCTAGTTCAGTAAACGGTCCCTTTAACTCTGAGGCTGTACTGCTGAAATTGAAGCCCGTGGCCAATTTCATGCTGTTTGAGGAAATTAGTTATCTGTTCTTCCTACTGTCTTCAGAATTCACAGTTTTTAACCTGCTGGTTGTTTTCAATTTTTTAATTTTCACAAGCTGTTTGATGTGTGTAAATGACAATGCCAGCTTCTTAATGTTTTTAGCAAAAGCAGAATTTCAATAAAACAATCTCAGCATGATCTTATCTAGATCTTATATATGGTATCCTTATTTGACTCCTCAGGGTGATTCCTCTAATATACATAAAACATGCTAAATGTTTCTCCACTTTGCATTGCAGTATTTTGCATCTTTTACATAGTCATATTTTTAGGGAGAGAATTTTGGGTAACATCTTCCTAATTGCCAGCTGCTGGGTGTTGGGAGGAAAATACAAGAGCTTTGATGTATAAATTCATACTTATTCATCTAAACTCACCACTGCAAATTTTGCAGGATGGGATTGTTTATCACAGCTCTTGTCCTGCTTGCATTTTACTATGAACTTGGTTTTCAAAATTCAATGTTAGACTTTGTTCATTACACACTTCATTGTCATTATTCAATAAAATTGTGGACCATCTAACAATGTAGTCTGTATATTGGCTGCTGTAGGTAGCCCCATTTGAATCAGCAAGATGTTCTTGGAGTATAAAATGAAAAACAAGCAAGAAAGTATAAATTCTTCTTGTACTGCTTCTATCTTTACATCCTTTGTCATTTGGTCTTCAGCTTGCAGTGTAGCTTTTAAATTAACTTTATTTATTAACAAAACATTTGTAATTTAATAATAATAAATAAATAAACAGTAATTGATGTTGTTGTGTGCTATCAAGTCAGAGCTGACTTATAGCAGCCCTAATAAGGCTTTCAAGGTAAGTGAGATATTTAAGGAGTGGTGTTACCAGATCCATATCTCCAGTGAGCTTCCATGGCTAAGTGGGGATTTGAATCCAGGCCTCCTAAGTCCTAGTCCATCATTCTATACACTACACCATCATACTGGTTATCCCACTGTCAATATAGGTTGTCAATTAAGTTCACATCTCTTGAATCAAGACCATTCTTTACCAACAGCTCTGTTAGCTTGCCGTGCTGTACCTTGTCAAAGACATCCTTGTAGTCAATAAAGCTAGTACATATATCGAAGCTCATGTGACACAGTCTTGTCCTGAAGTTCATGTAGTCAGAACAGTTCTTCCCCTGGAGGAATGATGTGATGAAAAATAATTTTTAAATGGTTTTCAGTTCATGATCTTTGAAAAACCTGCAAAATGACTAGATTGTTTGTTGCCCTCAGCTCTTACGAAGACAACCAATGCATAATTTTTTTAAAAAAAAGAACAATAACAAAAATGTTCTCTATATCCATGGAAGGGATGCATTGTAAAGTCAGATGAGTGTATATTAGGTATTCAGAAGATAAGGAGAGCTCGAATAGATTAATTCAAAGCTTCATCTAGTCCAGCAACCTGTTTCTCTGACTGACTAAATGAAAAAGCCTCGGTGCTTTAGCCTTTCATTGTAAGTAGAGTTGGGCAGAAATCTTTGGAGGTTCATGCTGGTTTGTGTTCCTTTCCTCCTCCCCCCCCCATGACCCACTCACCAATTAGAGTGCACTCTTCTCCTCTTCAGCTGTTCAACCAGTCCCCAGCAGGAGCAGGGATTTGCCTGTCCTGCATCCTTGTCTGAGTGGGTGATCCTCCAAGGAGGTGAGATAGGGAAGCCTGGGTTCCTGCTGGAGTCTGGTCAAACAGCCAAAGAGGAGGAGAGGAGCATGAATCACCTCATGAGTAGGGGATCCAGCCACCTAGGTATGGTCATGGGAAAAAGAGTTCCTGTGCCTTTCCCAGCTGCATAGAAGAGAAATTTTCAGTAGATATGGCTGGGCAAGTCAGGTTTATGGACAAAAGTTTGCTCTACTACAACATGATGAATAATCAGAACTGTAGAAAAATAACTAGATTTTCTCAACTAGATTTTCTCATGGTACCTCCTTTTCATGGTTTGTATGCCAACAACTTCAAT